CCCAATCGTTCCAGGCACTCCTCGTATGGAAGATGGTGCATTCCAATAAATTACTTTGATGCTCGATGTTTGAGCCGCTCCAAAGCACTAAGGCTCTGTTATAGCCATGAGGGCCATGTTTGAATTAAGTATTCGACATCAGGGCGAACAGACGCACTAAGAATCTGCCGGAAAATAGAGCGATCTATTTGTCCGAACGTTCGTCGTGTTGCTTACCAGTTTTGGAGGCTTTCGCAGATTGCCTGGAACAACCCAGATCATCCTGAACCAGTAGACCCAAATCACGTTCGGTGGCAGCTCGCTGCAGCACATACTTTCCGAGCCAGTAATAGTGATTTCTCTGGTGTCGTACGGAGAGCATCTTACTCACATTGAATTGCAATGAATTTTTGGTGAACCACTGATGTACCGTGTCTGGATCACTCTGACGCAGTTACTGGTCAGCATTCCTCTGAACCTTGAGTCAATTCTTGACGTCATTGGCAAACAGCAGAAAGTTAGATGTAATTGTCCGTATGAGCTTATTGATAAATACCAAAAACAATCGCGGACCTAGCACCGAGCCTTAAGGCACACCACATTCAACTTGTATTGGATCAGAGAAAGAGCTCCGAACTCTGACCACCAATTGCCGCCAAAGGAAATAGTTGGCAAACGAGCTTAGAAGAGGGTCACCGATCCCGTATCGCTGTAGCTTGCAAAGAAGAATCCGATGATCTTGATGGTCGAATGCTTTCGTGAAGTCCAAGTAGATTACATCAGCATCCTCTCCAGAGTCAGCTGACGTCATCCAGCTACTCCGTGTTATTAGAAAATTCGTTCTGCACGATCGTTTTCGACGGAAGCTATGCTACTCGCAAGTACTAATGTTAGAATTTTTCAAATAGCCCACCAGCGCATCGGCTGTGATGGATTTCACCTCCTTGGAGCGTATAGGGAGACGGGAAAATACCGGTCGTTTGAAGCCGCGGTTCCCCTTCCATCTTTGTGAAAGGGTGCTAGTATTCCAAGATTCCACATGCCAGGAACTTGGTTCTGGTCTAAGCAGCGCTAGAAGAACTGAGCCACTGGCTCTGCCAGTTGATTTGCTGTTGATCCCAGTGCCTCTGGGCGAATGGTCTCGACACCCAGGAATTTGTGCTTGCGTAGAGTGGTCAGCTTCTGCAAGCCAACTTCGATGATAAAGGAGATGTGAGTGAGTCCCAGCGGCGGGGCTATAAAAGCTGTAGTATCACCTGATGCTAATACCAATTGGAAGATGGGGGCATATTACATCCGCAGCGCTTTTGCTGCTTCCACAGCCGTTCGTGTTGGGCCATCAGCCATCGTGAGTGGCGGAACTCCTTGCCTCACCTTACGTAAACCATTGACACGTTTACACAGCTGTGTGTGATTAGCGCCAAAGCATTTTACCATGTTCTGCTGATGCGCGGCTTTGTCCCCTCTGAGCACTTGAGTGCAGTGGTTTCATTGGGCTACGTAGTTATCCCAGCTTTCGGGTGTTAGGGATGATCAATACTCTCGCCACGCTTTGTTGCGTACTTCAAGAAATTGCCGAGTTCTACTCCTTAAGTAAGGAAGTGTTTCAGACCGTTTGCAAACTTTTGTCTCTGAAGCATCCGTAACCAGGCATTTTAATGTGATTACGAACTCGAGCTTGGCGACATACGGGAGTTCTTCGGTGAGGAACGACCAGGTTTTGGCACTGACGAGGTGGGCTACTCGGCAGTAGCATGTGATGGTTCACGCCATCTCATGGTCCGCATCTCGGTATTCTGCATAGCAGAACAAGTTAAAACGAATGACCGCATGCTCATTGCGACCTAACAGAAAGTTTACAACCAGTGCGTCAATTATATGTTCTTCGTTGGTAGGCACAAGATCAAGCACAGATGGCCTAATACCTGTTCTGAACCGAGTGGGCGTAATGACATTACTATAAACCGGAACATTGGTTACAAGCTTCTGCAGATCGACTTTAAATTGTTCTCCACTCTTGGCAGGTGTTTCTAAACAATACACATTGAATTCACTCATAGTCATGAGGTGACTGTATCTGCCTTTTAGAGTTCGCCTTAGGGCAGTCACAACTTGGTAGTCCGTTTCAGATCTAAAGTTAGGCAGACGGTACACCAAGGCTATAAGGCAAGTGTCTCGGCCTCCTAACTGCAGATGGCATCAAAGCGAATCAGGAATCAGCGCATCGGAATCCTCCATGACCCTGCACTGTAAGTCACTTCGGTACTACTGAATTACGCCTTCTCCTTTTGTCAGTCTGTCGTTCCGAATGAGTGAGATGCCACGTAGCGAAATTTCAGCGTCCGTCATTTCGGTGTATAAACACGTCTCCCTGATGCCAATGAAATCATATTTCTGGGAAACGTGGTGATCTTTCAGTTCGGTCCGCTTACTGAAGAGGCCCTGAGCATTCGTGTACAAGCAGCCTAGTTTATCGGTCTCTAGTAGACAACAGGAAGTCAAGGAAGTCAGGTGTGTGGGAGTGCCGACCGAGGTGTGGTCGGCCGTTGTTCATTTTTTTTATTGAGATACTGGTACTACTTCCGTACCTTGCCCTGGCCAAGGCGCGTCCCAACCCTCATCTAGATCTACATGTGTGTCAGGTAAAAGAGCAATCATCGCCGGTACCTCTGCTTTTTCCGATGATTTCGTAATTGGACGTTGCGAAGCAGATGCAGTTCGTAACCGAAATTCCGATAGAAAGCTTTTTCGAACTTTGCGCCAACTGTGTAACATATCCGTCGCTGCTTGATCCGGTTGAAGCACGTGTTCTAGGATTCTCGAGCCGCATCCTCCACAATTTGACGCGAGGTTAACCTTTTAGGCGATCGCGTCGCTATGTTATCCAAGGAAAGGGTTTCTCGGATGAAACGCCATTATTCTAAATCGTGATTTCCGGTCTCTTGATTATCGTGTGAAGATAGTGTTTCGGCAATCAGGCTTGCTGTGTCCTTCTTCGGAGTTTCTGTTCGACTGTCGCATGTTCCACGGAACATCAAGATAGATACGTATCCCGCACGATCCATGCTGCAGCGAGTTTGCGGAGAGCAGAACGTTTTCCACATCAGTTGAGGATTCTCGTGTTACTCTAACAAATCTTATTTACGATTGGCCGCTTCGTTCCAAGCATGCATACGTGTGGATCGCCTGTGCTTACCAACAGAGTGCTCCACACATTTTTCCTCCACAGCTTTAACTTTATGCTTCCACATACCTGACACTTTTCAAATTTAGATGAAGTTTACTTGAAGTGCCTGGTTGGTGAACCTCAGCATTGAACGCTTCGCATTGTTTATCTCATGGATGGTGTCGACCAGGTCATGACGGCGCCCAACAACAAAAGTAGTACTGCACCTGGAAAAAACTAATCTGTTCGTTGGTTCACTATGTTCTATGTCATACGCTCCAGTCTCTTAAGAAAGATATAGATGTGGAGAACGAATTAAAAATGGTTTTCTTGACTGAGAGCTGATCCATCTACGGGATATGTTCGGGACATCTCAGTATCTAGATAACGCATTCGAAAACGGTATCCATGGTGCCTGGAAAAATTTTTGCAACATACACATAACATTTCGGACAACAGCCCCTTTCATTACTTTTTTTCTCAGCCCAAACATCTGTCATGTGATCGGGGAGAATCCTGATTAAATGGCAGGAACAAATAGCAAAACGTTTCTGATCACTCTGTGTTACCTAATTTACCATTGCGCCCATGTTTATTTCTGCCAATGTATTAATGCAATGTCATGGAAAGGTTGTAGCATTATTTGATCTGTTTCGTTTAGGGAACATCTTCTCGCATCGTAGGGGAATATACAATTTAATTATTTTTTCTTATTGCAATACACATTTCCTTATAAGGATTTCCATTCCCATCTTGTCGTTTCTGACTTGACTGACATCTAATTATGTCCCGCTAGCTGTTTGGCGACGACGGTGTTCTATCTTAGGTTATATACTCTCGTGGCAAATCTTGGCTTGCTCACCGTGCCGATTCACTAGCGTCGTATGAGACCGTACCTCTGCGTTCGTTTGGCGCAGCCCCAGAAAGCTACTTTTCACTGGACTCCTAACCGTTCTCTCTTCATCTCATGGTAATCACTACCTCAGAGACTACATTGTCACCCGTATTTTGGCTTACTCATCGATTATACTCTACCCATTTTAACCCTTTCAGAGTTACACGATGGTTCTCGCCTCCTTGGATTTATGCTGCCTTGCAGACTCGACAAAGAACACATTTTTCAGGTGCACCTCTCGTTCCTTCCAAGTTTGGTAACCACAGCTAACAGCTATGCAAACGGCACATTCATCAGTTTCTTGCGAATCAGGCACCGAGGCAAGATGGATTCAGTTACCGTACGTAGTCAGCTTATCCGTGGCGGTAATAACCTGACAAGGAAACGACAGGAACGCGAAATGTAGCGAATATAAGCCAGAAAATACTGTTGGCGGTTAAAATTATCACTGGAATTGCTTACATTGGAGCAAAGGGAGCGGATGTGAGAGCTTCGTTGACTTCTCCATTGAGCGATATCAAATGATCAACGTGGATATCGTTGTCGTCAGCATCAAGTCCTCACCAAGAAGACATGCAACAACGGCGTTCAGTCCTCTGGTTAACCCTTTCATTTCTTCTTTTATCGTCATCACCTTGGGACCTTTAAACTCTATCATACTAGACACTGAATCGCCAGTAACTTGTTAAATATGTTGCCCAACCTGGCTTTATCGGAGTATAGGAACCCAGTTTGATAAGCTATTAGTTGCGGACAAGAGGATCCGTCCCAAAACCCCAACCGGTGGAATATCTACAGCAGCCTTTCGGCAGTCCCACCAAAAATGAACCATGGTTAAACAAATGCGTGTGAATGACACTTATGTGTTCCCCAACTCTCTAGCCAGTTTTGTTTGAATATGTTCATATTTCAGCATTTTTCAGCGTTTGGAATATCGCCCGTAACTTCAGGAACATTCGCTGCAGAGGCAAGTTTATAAATCTGCGTATTCGTTTATCAACATGCAAATGAGAAGGAATAAATAGGTGTTGTGTTCTCTGGCGAAATGCAGTCGACTCTGGAGTTCATCAATTCATGGCATTCTGTTGTCGGTTTGCAAAGCGGTAATAAATAGCCTTATACACTGAGAGGATCAAGACAAAACAGGAGGATTACAAGGAAGGGAAGAAGCGGATGGTCAGATGACCCGAACAAGCTTTTATAACGGGATAATTTCTCTTGGACTATCGACTACAAGCGGTTCTTTCATTCCGTTCATCCCATGTTCAACGCTCCCGCTCCTTGTCCGAAACCGAATCCCTTGGGACCAAATGCTTTACCGTAGCAAGCTGGATAAAGCGGATAATGGGGTTATTCAGTGCGTCAGTGGAAGTGGAATGTGTGATGAATTGGGTTCGGTGCAAATCTTACCTTTGCAATAGACCTCCTGTTCATCCTTTTGAGTGCACAACGTTGTGGAGTCCAAAGATTTGCCACACGTTTTGCATCGGAAACAGGCTTTGTGGAAGCTTAGCTGTAGCAGAACCAATTAAAGTGCTCATTATATTCTGCACTCGAGCAGAAATATTGGAAGAAAATACCATCGCTGTCTTTATCAAGTTGCAATTACTTTGGACATGGTTATGGAATATGTCTGGTGCTTCACCTCTCCTAAACCATGGTAACACGACTGTGGCATGAAGTGAAATCGAACGAACTGATTCGACAGCATGCATAACAAACTTGTTCCAATCACTGTTCGCAGCGATTTCATTCCTATCGAATTAAAGCGTATTTTGTCCTGTACATCAACAACAACAACAACAACAACCTATCACCTGTTTGTTTGCATTTTAAATGCTCACTATGTGAATGCATCGCGAGACACGATCTTATTCGGGGCCGAAATTTTTTTCTAAATTGAACCCAGGTAAGTTCAGTTAATAGGTTAGTGTTTAAAACAGAAGGCATCAGTAGTACGCCGGTACGCGGTACAGACGCTTCACTGCCACGCAATCACCACCAGTTGCAGATGGGCTAAGGATACTGCGAGGGTTGCCCGGTCCCTACGCAGGCTCCAACTCGAGATGTCTGATTGCAAGATAGGCTTCTGATCCTTAAGGCTACAGCACCAGAGACGTTTGGTTGTCTCTACCTGAACAATTATAACTATGAAATCGGTCGCGGAGTGCAGTGTCCAAAGCAGCAGCACCTCATATGTACCCGCTTCAAATACGATTCCAGTGATCAAACTTCCTGATGCTGACTTCGAATCGAATTTTGCTTCGGACATAGCTTGGTTGCCGCACGATGTTTCTTGTAGAGTTGCAGAAGGATCTTAGTCATCTTAACCGTGTAGGAATTGAAGTAGGACAGACGCGGCTGAAAACTCCACATAGGTACCAAGGACCCCTATCTTATCATCCGTGTATTGAGATTCACCCTCATGGAGTGAGCAACAAATTCGACATAAGCAACAAATTCCCGTCACATGCAATCAGTCTTTCCAATCCTACTACTATGGCATCATTTAGTATCTAATGAACTAGATGCAGACTGAGTAACCGTTATTCGTCATTTCAGCACGGTTCTTCTCACCCCAAGGGCCAAGGTACCGCTTATTTTCTACTTGAACGGATCTGCGGAGTTCAACTATATTTGCATCTGCACTTTTGACAGACTTCTATTAAGTGTTCAACGATGTCGATGTTGAAGTTTAGGTGCACGCGCAATTAGAAGTAGAATACAAAACAAATAAACCAACGTACTCCACTAGGACATCCGATCGCTTTTTCTGCGTCGTACACTCGCTTGCCACATCGCGGACAACCACCTTGTTCCGGTGGAACCACGGCGCCACCTGCTGCTGCCGTTGGCTTGTTGCTACAGGAAAAATAAATGAAGGGGCCATTTAAATGTAGTTTGTGTTTGATACGATAAGTGTCATAGCTATGCGTCACCTCCATCAAAAACCTATTTTTCAAGCCAGAACGAACCAGTGAGCGAATACTATCCCCTAAAAGCTGTTACAATGACCTTTCAAGATCCTGCTTTATCGAGACTTTTCCGATATGATCAATGCTCGCTCCCTGTAAGTCTGGATTTTGCCAGCTGGTCAGCTGAAACATGGGGCCAATAGATCTTGAGATAATCTTTACTCTCTTCACGTAAAAGACCCATCAGGGAGGTCGTGAAGCTTCGGTACTATCATCGAAACGCAAGAACTCAACGTAGACTAACAATCCGGGTTGACATCTACTCATTTGGCCACCTAATCACAGTCAGGTCTTAAAAAAAGAGTCGATTATGACCGGGCCTTAAGTGCGAATAGTACCTATATATGCCTATCCAACAGTCCTGATTTACGTCGATTACCGTATGCTCATGTTTTCTGAGGCCTAATTGGATGCCGTTTCTAGGTAGGACACCATCCATCAACACTGCCCATCTGAGTCCAGATGTATTTAGCCATCGAATGAGCACCCTACCTTCTTTTGTTTACTTCATCTTATTCTCAGTTGGCAGTTTACTTTGACATTTCATTTGAGCACAAAGCCAAACGAAGGGTGTACGGTCGTTGCGAGAACAAACAAAACAGGTGGGGTATAGTTGAAACGCTTTGATGCCACATCTTAATATGTGGTTATGCGAGACTCACTGTAGGAGCGCAGGTACCGAGCTTGCAATCAAACTAACATCAATTGGAACACAATAGAAATGTGAAAAGCGGTTCCACTCTCGGCATCTTCCATGCAATTATTTATTTATTTATTTATAAACCATGGCTCGGTCATAAACGTACGTGCATCTACTTGGATGGCCACTTATGAGGCTGATCACACTAAAGGCGGCGGTAACACTGATACCGCGATGCCACATTATCCACCTACATCAAACCGGTCTTCCGGAAAAGATTTTGGTCTCATTCGGAAGAAGAAGTTGTGGACTCACTAACTACGCGGCAACCATCCCTGCAAGTTGCAGCATAACAAACTTACAGCCGTTTTGCTGCGCTCGTCAACTGAGCAGCTCTAGGGACGCTTATCAGCGCTCCACCTGCATCGTCGCTTAAGGCAGACAGATTAACACACGCTGCCGCTTTGTGTGGGTGTGTGTGTACCACTGCACGTCGATTGATTGCTGAATCAGACAGTCTGTGCGTTACGACCTCCATCTGCCTCCCGCACTGGCCTTGGTGCGGTTGAACAACCCTCACTTCGTGTGCGTGTTCTCACCTGTTCCTGCGTCACCCCTAGCGCAAAGTACACTTACCAAGGTGAGCGCTTAGATCGGCTTTGTTGTAAACAACAGGAGGACCAGTAGCATTCCAATGGTTCAACGTCGCCTATGTTGTGCAGACAACTGCAGTAAGCTGCTTAAGATCAGTATCACCTGTTCTAGCTGCATTAGATCGTACTGTCCGCAATGTGTAGGTAAATCTGTCCAAGAAGTGAGACAGACAAACCAAGTTGCTGACACAATTTGGTTTTGCCCAACATGTCAAGTCATTCCAGTGGTCAACTGCTTATCTTTGCTCATGAAAAAATGCGATAGGATGACTGAAATAATCGCGCAATTTGTAAATACTAAGATCCCTCCCCCGGAGGTAAATACGGCCACGATAATATCTCACCCGGCCAAAGTAAGCTCTGAGTCTAAACCGAAGAAAAGAGCTAGACGCTCCAACCGCACTGCAGCGTCTGTGACTCTAATTCCACTGGGTCACCTCACTCCCATAAGTGGGCAAGCCTCAAACATACCTGTTTCCACTTCTCCAACCATAGAGGCTTCACTTGGAGATGCATCCATGACGCCGACAGCTCAGAGCCGTAGGAAATCCGGTGCAGATAACAAGCAGGTAACGTACGCATCGATTGCCTCGACAAACACACCGGGAGGGACACACATAGGTCCATTTTCAGTACCGAGCACGCATGGCGCAAAGCAGCTTTCACCGCCAACTCCAATGGTGTCCTCTAAACAACGCGAATTGAAAGCAAAAAGTATAAAGCCAACACTCACTAGACAAAACCACGCTGCGCTGCGTCTCGTGTGCACCAATGTTCCCGAATCCAAATCTGGAACAATAAAAGGTAAATTGCAAGACGATCGCAACCAGTGGAGTTCCATCTGCGAGGCAATTAACATTCGTGTTGAGCCTGCAATGCTGCAACGCGTAGCGCGTCACCCGACCTCAGTGCACTCTGGTGAACCTCGAATTCTTCGAGTAACACTAAACTCAGCAGATGAGACAGAGGCTGTCCTGCTCTCAGCAGTTCGTCTTCGCAACTCACCGAGCGGAGTACGCATATTGCCTGATCTACCTTGGAAAGATCGCGCAAAAGAAGCAGTGGAGCAACACGGTATTGCTAATAGAGATAGCAAGAGAACCATATTTGTTCATGGAGTTCCCGAGCTTCTGCATTCTTCTGATCACGATGCACAAACTCATGACCCAGAGCAGTGGTGCTACATCCGTGAAGCACTCTCTGTAGACAATGTTATTGCCAAATCCCTGACAAGAGTGCCGTCATCAGCTAACTACAAGGGCTGCGGTCCAAGGCTAATTAAAGTAACACTACACTCCGAGGGAATGACGCAAGTTCTGTTAGATAGCTGGTTAAAGTTTCGATCTAGGCTGCCAACAGAGATCCGGCTAAAAGCAGCAGGTGTACGATCAAAAGTCGGAAGCAATTCAACGGAACTTGCAAACGCAGCAAATTCCTTATCTGCAAAGTCCTGCGGAGAGACCAACACAACTGCGCCCACGGCACACAAGAGGACCGAGCAAAGCACCAGTGAAACTTCTGTTCAGGAACGCTTAATAATGCCATACAACACGACTGAAATACCTAAACCAAAAAACGACTAATTGCCGGCCACCTAACGGCCGGCTTAAAAGCGAACACAAACATGACATCTATCAATGAACTCCTAACAACAAAAGCCCTATCTTGCATGTATACAAACGCTCAAGGCCTTCTAAGCAAGCTGGCAGAACTTAGAGAACTCCATGCCTCACAACCGCGGGACCTCGTCATGATTACAGAGACATGGTTAAACCCTGAGATAACCGACTCTGAGATCAATTTACCCGGTATGTCACTGCTTCGGACCGATAGAACCGGAAGGGGAGGCGGTGTGATTCTTTATTACAATACAAACCTCCGATGTGAAGTTATCGACCACCCAGAAATCAGAGCGCCCGATTCGCTTTGGTGCCGCCTATGGTTGCAAAACAAGGGCACATGTCTACTAGCCGTGATTTACCGCCCGCCAAACTCAACTTCGGAAATGGACTCCAAACTGAACCACGTTTTCCAGTTTGCTTTGAACAAGTCCTACACCCACATTCTTATCGCTGGAGACTTTAACGTGCATGACATAAAAACGCCGGCAACCGATGGTATGCAGTTTAAAGCCCGCTTGCAAGAGCTTATTGCTAGCCACCCTCTTTACAACCACGTAACCTCTCCCACTAGATTTCGAACTGCTAACAAGCCGTCGATACTGGATCTTGTGCTCACTAACGAAGAACTCATGGTTGACGGGATAGTTACAAGCACACCACTAGGTCGTAGTGATCATGTTACTCTACTCTTTGACTATATTTGCTATGCGGAGTACCCTGAAAAGGAGGAGGATAAAGTGCATACTGTCACACACTACAATGTGTTGTCTAAGCTTGTTAAGGATACATCCTGGACTTTCTTAACCGAATGCCCCCCCAGATGTTGCCTGGGAAACATTTACAAGGACGTTTAGTACACTGGTAGCGCACGCATCAGAGGAGAAGTCCTTCCAACCTAAAAACAAGCGTAATTCATTTCTGAGGAGCAGGACACGTAAATATATGTCCCGGAGGGATTTGGCATGGCGAGATCACCAGGACTGCCCGAATGCCGAAACGTGGAATACATACGTGACACATCGTAACTTCTGTGTGAAACTGATCCGCGAAGACAAGGTCACTCATCAGCAGAAGTTAATGAAGCGCTTCTGTACGAACGGCAAACTCCTGTACAGGCACGTTAACGGCCTTCGAAAGGTAAAGCGGGGGATTCCAGCACTAGTCACGGCTGATGGTTGCACGCGATCAGCAATGGAAGCAGCTGGTCTCCTACGGCTTCACTACTCCAAAACTTTCCAGGAGGTAACGAGCACGAACATTCTCCTCATTCCTACTACTCCTTCATCTGGTTTAGAAAACATCACCTTCACTGCGGAAGCGGTGTTGAAGAAGTTGTTATCCTTGCGTATCCACAGTTCTCCCGGAGCTGACAATATCCGACCAAAGACTCTACAGGCAGTAGCTAGTGATCTAGCAGCACCACTGGCTATTTTCTATCAGCGATGTCTAGAGAAGAACCGTATTCCACCAGTATGGAAGCAAGGGGTCATCACTCCTATCCATAAAGGAGGTAGCCGCACTGATCCTGCCAACTACCTTCCAATAACACTGCTTCCTGTGCTATCCAAAGTGATGGAATCAATCGTTGCAGACGCGCTGATGGAATACATGGAAGGCCACAATTTAATAGCCCCAGAGCAACATGGCTTTCGTCAAAAGCATTCGTGTAATACTAACCTATTAATTGCACGTAATAGCTGGACTGAAGCTGTTGATGATGGAGTAGGGGTCGATGTCATCTACTTGGACTTTTCAAAAGCATTTGATCGCCTAAACCATCGCATTCTCCTTTACAAGCTTCGTAATTACGGCATTGGCGACCCAATCCTGAGTTGGATTAGCAATTTTCTACAAGAACGACGGCTAGTGGTGAGAGTCCGAGAATCATTTTCTCATGCAATCGATGTGGCGTGCGGAGTACCACAAGGCTCGGTTCTTGGACCTCGTCTATTCTTGGTGTTCATTAACGATT